ACGATCTACACGGTGAGTGGGGCGATTCCAGAATCGCAGCGATTACGGTATCGATTATTCAAATCTCGATATTGGGAAAATAGCTTGGTTTGCGATAATAGTCATACTACATGTCATCGACCTCTGAGGGAAAATCCAAGTACGTCCTTATGGTTGGTTTCATATGAGTAAGTTTTGAACAACTTTTATACGGAGGAATTGGAGGCACATTGTCGAGGACTCTCCAGAGAAGTTTACTGTTATAATATACTAGAATTGCCGTAGATGATGCACTTGAGGTGCTATGCGCTCCGACTCTCATAGCGTGAAATAACAGTATTCATAATATATTATATTTATTTTTCTTTAGAGTATATATTATTAGTTTAACAATATTGTATATATATCTTATTATATTTCCTTATATATTGTTATTGATAATATATGTTTACTTGTAATTATGATATTAATAAAGGTGTATAAGAGGGGGGGATGTTTTCCTTGTTGTTCAGATCGACAAGTCGAATCGTGCGAGGGGAAGAATCAATGAGTAGTGATTTTGGAGGTATGCCCCCACAGCACCCTATACGAGGGAATTTGACTTATCCTAACATCCCTCGAGATGCTTCTGGGGAGGGCTCCTCTCCTGGAGAATGGCAGGGCCATTCACCGATGCCATCATCATTGCCTCCGACAGTGCCACTGGCTTCTAGGAGTCCGATATCGAGGAGACCTGCGAGGGTAATAGCGGAGGGACGTCATGTGATGTCGGTATGGAGTGTGCGAGGCCTGTGTGAGCAAGCATGTGTGGATGTTCTATCATACGTTCGTCGGGATCACGCTTATTCCTAGCTTAGAAAGGGCATCGGGGATTCGGATGGAATCAGCAGTGTCTGAATATCTGTTGATGAAGAGTTGGAGTTAACCACGCATGATGCTCAGTCCTTCGTGAACTCGAAATGATTCATCTCTTCTCAGTCACCAGCTTCATTTCGAAGATCACAAACGGCATCTAATTTTATGCCCAGTCCTCGCTCTCGAGTCCCTTTGCCATCACCGCGATCGGGTATGCCCCTTAAAAAAGTACCGGCGCGGACTGCGATGTAGCTATCGTCCGGAGATACACTCGGACTATCTATTCATCCCTTGCTGTGGCTCTCTACCTCATGATGCCTGTGAGCCTTTGTGAGGATGCACTCGAAAGAATATCCTAATTGTTTGCGTTATTTGCAACTTCACACTCTGTAATTTATCTATCATCCGAATCCGTATCGGTTCCTATGGTTCAATTATCACTGCAATCATTATCGCCTAGTGAGTTGACTAACGACTCATCCGTAGTTTTGTATGTTGATAGTAATGATACTATTGATATGTAGCGGTGGAAGTATGTATAAGTCACTATTTTCGCTGAACGTTGACTGTGGTTCTACGTTATTGGAGCAACGCTTGGAGCTTCGAGGGTCCGCTGAGACTACGCGGACGAATCATAGTAATGCTTGTTTCCCCGCGCCTGATAGAGTTGTGTACAGTTCAGTCGAATATTCTTGCGCCTAAGGGATGTGCTCTCGAAAAAGAGTGTATTTGAAATCGGATTAGATCGATTCGATTTAGGATTACACGGAGAGTAACACTTGTAGCCCTCTCGAAACAGTGTCCCATTGAAAGTACTCGGAGGTTCTTCTTCTGGCGGCAAATAACCCCGCAGTATTACTGAAGGTGAGACTTAATACTGCATGCAAACGAAGTGGGAGATACTTTGAGGTCGCTTGCTGTTGGAATGGATCTTCCTATCTGTTGGTGTAGTGGCATAGCCGCCCCATCCCGGATGAACTGATATTCTGAGTGCATGCGCTTGTGAAGTTGATGGACTGTAGCATATCTTGTAGTGGCATAGCCGCCCCATCCCGGATGAACTGATATTCTGAGTGCGTGCGCTTGTGATGTTGATGGACTGAGGCATATCTTGTAGTGGCATAGCCGCCCCATCCCGGATGAACTGATATTCTGAGTGCGTGCGCTTGTCAAGTTGATTGACTGTAGCATATCTTGTAGTGGCATAGCCGCCCCATCCCGGATGAACTGATATTCTGAGTGCGTGCGCTTGTCAAGTTGATTGACTGTAGCATATCTTGTAGTGGCATAGCCGCCCCATCCCGGATGAACTGATATTCTGAGTGCGTGCGCTTGTGAAGTTGATGGACTGAGGCATATCTTGTAGTGGCATAGCCGCCCCATCCCGGATGAACTGATATTCTGAGTGCGTGCGCTTGTGAAGTTGATGGACTGTAGCATATCTTGTAGTGGCATAGCCGCCCCATCCCGGATGAACTGATATTTTGAGTGCGTGCGCTTGTGAAGTTGATGGACTGAGGCATATCTTGGAGTGGCATAGCCGCCCCATCCTGAACACATTTGTCCGGGAGCGAAATATGTCTTCACAACTTGATTATGCCGTTCGCTGAATGGCGTCGGAATATTTATTCAGCGAATTGGGCGGCTATGTCGGTGGACTATAACATTGTGAAACCTATTTGCCGAATGGGGCTGCTATGCCAGCGGACAAAACCATTCAGAAATCTAATTAGCGAATGGGGCCGCTATGCCAGCGGACAAAACCATCCAGGAATCAATTTGGCGAATGGGGCCGTTATGCCAGCGGACAATACGATTCAGGAATCCATTTGGCGAATGGGGCCGCTATGCCACTGGATTAGGATTTCAGATGCATCAATGCCACTCATTGGGTGGGGATATTAATTTGGCCCTCCCATAAAAGCATCATATTTGCGAGGAAGAAAATTAGCTAAGTGATTCAAATGGGAATCCCACGACTACCGCCCTTTGATGATCAAAGGAATGAACCTCACTGATACGAATATTAATTACGTGGGGACAATCTTCTAGCCTGCACAACTTGGGCTTGGTTGTTCAACGATGTTTGTCTCGGTTATATTTGCTCCTGAAATAATGCTCCTCTACTTCCCTCGAAGGGCCCAGCTTATCTATGGAAAGTACCACTTTCGGCATGCTACCTCTATGTCGAAGAGAACTATGGAATATAACATTTAGCCTTGGAATGTTGGCATAACAACGTCGTAGAATCAATTGATGATGAGGAGTATCCGCAAACATATTCCCCCAGGGAAATCTGTATGCATAAAATGGGCGGGTAAAAATAGTCGCTCACTGATTACGACTTCCTGGTCAACTAAGCCCAATCGGAGGTGTCAACACCGCTGTGGTTAAGCCATGAGATTATGATCAATTTAGTTTTATCATTCGTGGAGGCCTGGAAAAAGAGGCTCACAACAGGCTCTACATCACATTGTTCTCAGATTTGTTATATATATGTTCCGTCATGTCGCAACCGGCTTTATCGCTAGTGATTAGTCTCATATTGAGACTCTATGATCCTTTTCCATTTAATTTCCCGATGTCCACGAGATATGTTACACGTTGGCACATCGACAAGCTTACATATGTTCATGAGCTGAGCTGAGTTATTCATCATGATCATGTTGTCGAGCCGATTCTGACTTTACCTTGGCTGTCCCGGTTGACATACGCTTGGCATGCGCTATAATGCTTGATAGTATACAGCTTCCGAGGCTCCTGTGATGAAGGTTTACAGTCTTCTTACGAATTGCCATGTTGCGTGTTCAATAACGCAAACCATAATACAAAACAGTGATTATGACTGTAAAAAGCGTTACAAGTCCTCGCGAGCTTCTTATCAGTGTATAAGTTGGCAGTGCGTGGGTGTCCCGAAACCGAATCTGTTGCAACGGTGGTGA